CCCACCCCTAGCACCAAATATACTTAAAGGAACTTCACTCTCTCTCCCCACTCCCCTAAAAAAATAAAGGGCCAGACTGAGATCATAATGAACACGTTGTTCATTTACAACATTCCATTTTTTTCAGTTACATAGTTCCCGCTTAAAAGCGCAAATAGGATTACATGGTGACCGGGCGGTAGCTGAGCGCACGCACTGACTTTAGAAGGCGGCCCTGAAGGTAAATTAAACTAAGATCAAAAAACTTACCGACACGTTATTTTGATATGATCACCGTCAGCGATCATAAAGCAAAGGCGAAAATTCTCGCATTAGAAGTAACAGACAATCTTAGTTGATTAAATTGGCCTTGGCAAACGTTTACAGATGCCCTATGCATGGAAACTTAGGCTGCGTTTCAGGTTATTTTACAAAAAAAAAACCTTTATACCCTTCTATTTTTATACATAAAGAGGATCTCGTGATCCCTGTGTCCACTCATTGGTTTTGTAATACGGGAGAGTCTTTGAATACTAAGCTTTTAAAACACATGATGATGAACAAGTTGACACCATTATGCACTCTGACCAAGTGCATAATTGAAATACTTGACAAATTTCGACAGTGTTCCAATAATTGAGGCAAATTTTATTGGAATTAATTCTGAACCAGAGAAAATTAATTTCCTTCCACTCATTTCTCTCACTCATCTGCAGACATCAGCCCACAACCTTTTACACATTTATCTGTGTTTCCCGGGAAAACAGGAAACATATTTCTCGCTTAGTTATAGCCTGCCGACTTGTATTTAGCGAATCTGAAAAAGAAAATTAAAGAAACGCGCTCTAGGGTAGTTTAATTGCCCGCCCTGGAAACAAAAGTCCCATCTTTCGCAGACGGGGCATTACAATATCGTTTTTTAATTTCTACGCCAGAAAGGCTGAAAACAACGTTTTGTATCTGAATGCCGAAAAAGAGTGGCTAAATCATCCTTACCTCATCGGTTGAAATATTTCGCTGGGAATAAAAACAATATTTTGATATTTGCCGTCGGCTGCTTTCGCAAAAACCAAGAATACCCAGCGAGTACGTGCGCAAAAACACACGAAAGAGGCAACATTTACTTTCATCCGCCCACTGATTTACGGCTTGCATCCGCAGAGATTTGTCAGAAATAAACATATATTGGGGTCAATTAACAAAGCATTAACTATCGGAAGAGAAATAAATTTCCTGCGCTCTATAACATGTGAATTATATATTTTAATACATCATTGTAAAACATGACGAATAACCCATGCAGGAAAAATAGAGAAACAGTTCATCTCCTACTGCACTTTATTACAATTTATTTGAGGAAGTGACGTCAAACACCGATTTAATCGCGAAAATGCAAGAAATTTCAAATACTTATTTTAGTTTCTCCTTCCTCTTCCTCTATGGACCGAACAGAGACGAATTTCAAGTTTAGAGACTTGTCTGACCTTTTTCAATAGAAAACCGTTCGTTTCTTTAACGCAGCGGGATGTTAGACATAGCTCTTCTAATGAATATGAATTTCTATAAATTGCTGTAAGAGAAGTCAGTTAGCTTTTCTAAATGAATTTAAAACCTCCTGTGTTGTCTAGAAGTCATGTCTTTCGATCTCTCAATGACTTTTCCTCCGAGGCGACGAACGGTAAAATGTAATAACATCCTCAAACCCATCAGAAGTAACAATCACTAAACTTATTTTGAACTTATTACGGAGATGGCCTCTGCTTTCCTTGCAAGTCGCGGCACTTCTGTTATCTGTTATTTTGAGATGTGGGGACATAAACTTCAACAGCTCTTGGATGCTTACCAAACAGTGCTTTTGCTCTCTTCATATGAATGCATTTTAAAACTGTTTGCGGAATACAACTGAATTCATGCATAAGATAAAAGCTGCTTCCAAAACACATTAATCGCAGTCTTTTTTATTCGCCCGGCTGTTGAGTCGATATTATTAAGTGGGGATGAAGGCTATTCAATCTGGAGACAGATGGCCATGAAGCGTTTATTTTCACGTCAAGATAAGAACAATTTCAATATTAGTAGCCACCATTCAGGTCACACGCGCGGTCAAACTGCTTTTTAATTCGACACATAAAGTGATCGAAAAACTTTTTCGGCCACAAACGGTGCACTGTGAAATAGCGCGGGATAAAATCGTCCGAGTTTGAAGCCCGAAGCGGTGATTCGGCGACTAATCTCTTGTTTAACATGTCTTCTGCTGTAAACCTAACGGAGCAATTTGCAACTAACAAAAGCACAACTTCGGTGGAAGATTTCGATCGACTAGCCATCGTTCAACTGATGTGCTACTCTATAATCACCGCTGCTGGTTTGATAGGAAATACCCTAATTTGCTTGGCTGTTTTTAAAAGACGCCGCTTGCGTATCACCGACGTTTTCGTCCTCAATTTGGCCGCAACAGACTTGGCAACTTGTGTAATAAGTATACCATTTGACTTTGTGGAAAGACTAGTGAAAGAGTGGCCTTTTGGAAACGTGCTGTGTAAAATCGTGTACCCTTTGCAAACCATTCTGATGGCCGTGTCTGTGTACACGCTGCTTTTCATGAGCTGGGAGAGACATCGTTCAGTTATGCCGCCATTTAAGCCAAAAATAAAAGCAAAACGAGCAGTTACGATAGTTTTTATTCTCTGGGCTGCTAGCATCAGTTTGGTCGGACCGTACATTGCCATTCTTAAAGCTGAAACCAGCGACGGTGTAACTCAGTGCATGGAAAACTGGCCTAAGAAATACCATCCCAAAGTGTTCACGCTTGCAGTTTTTATAGCTCTGTATGTGTTGCCACTTTTTGTAATCACCGCCAACTACATACGGATCAGTCAAAAGCTCTGGAGAGACATACAAAGAATGCATAAGGCGATTGGCGAAAGAAAACGCAACGGTAAAAAGCCACTAGTGCAGGCGAGAGCTCAGCGCAATATGAGAATCGTCAGGATATTTATAATTGCGGTGATTGCCTTTTCACTCTGTATGTTACCCAACCATATCATGTGGATTTGGAAAGATTTTGGTTCGGAAAAGGGTCTCCGATATTTTGGTACCATAATCAATTTTTGCTATATCTTGGTTTACTCCAACTCAGCCATTAATCCGTTCATATTTGTGTTTCTCCACAGACGGTACTGCCGGGATATTTTTAGCCCATGTGGCACTGTGAAAATGCTGGTGATTTCATGCTTAAGATTTCGATCGCAGGAAACTTGCAGCAATGCGAACATCTACAGAAAAAGCAAAATTTCGCGGAGAAGAGAGCGGCGCTCACAAAGAAAATCAAACCATCTACCCTACACGATGCAGCTTGCAACACCACGAAGTGCACGAAGCACTTACGCGGCAAGAAAATTATTGCGGAATAACAGTTATTGGTGCAAAGAGCTAATTCCTAACCTTGAGGCAAAAGAATATCGTGTTTCGTTCAGAAATGAGCCACTTCAGTCATTGAAAGATGGAGAAGATGTCGATGGAGGCAATGATGAAAGAAATCAAGTGTCAACAAAAAAAGTGAATTTTGGTGAAGTTGTCCGTATTGAAGCGCAATAAATATGTAGATCTCGCAGGTTAAAATTGCGATTCGCATGACTTTCAAGACACTGGATACTTCGATTAGAAAGTTGTAAACATTTTCAATTTTAATTTTGCAATTTTTTGCGGTTCATTTTAAGCGAGGAAATGGGACGAAGAAGGCTATTGCCTGCCTCGGAAAGTTGGCCAAATACTACTAGGCTGACAAGTAACTGAATAAAACACAAATGACGTATTTCATTTCTATTATGATTTGCACAGCACAAAAACTTAACTGCATGAGTCCATCTACAATGAAAGTATAAAGTTCATTTAACGAGCAACGTTCAAAAAATGGCCAACTTGCGGCCGATCAACTAAATATAAAAGTAAACGAGCAACTGAGATAAAGACAGGAGTATATATATGATAAATTATTTAAAATTGACGACTTGCCTCAGTTATCAAAGATTTGGCACTTGCTCATAGAGCTCTATTTAATATATATTTTCTCGTAAACTAAGACTTTTGAATTTCATTGTTTGAAACCTTATGAGCACCAACTTTGATTGTTTTCTTCATAACAGAAGTCGTGGAATTTACAGTAGGTCATGGATAAAAAGAAAACCATGTAAAAATGAAAAAAAATTGATTTCGCTTGAATCACAATCATTTGAAAATGAAAATGGAAACTGACATTAATTTAACTTTTTCTCGGCGACAATATGGCACTATATATTCTCATGGAGATTAACTGCACACAGTTTCTTCAAGAAGCATTATAAATGAATGTGCATACGTTATTCTTCATACCAAGTGTATCTTTCGGTTCCCGTGCGATACTTTGCTGAATAGTCCACAGGTCAAAAAAAAAAACTACAAAACAAATAGGTTTTCTTTGTACTTTATACATGAAACGACATGTGAATTTTATTTGGACAGAAATGCTCACGTACATTTACTGTGGCTTTTTGATTTACAGAAAGAATATTAGGTAAAACTTTAAATTTAACCACATTTTAATATTCCCTTACACACTGTCATATCATTAAGACAACTGTTTATTATCACTTTTCCTGTTTGACGATAGATGACAAGAATAGAATAAAGACAAAATCAATTGTTTTTAATATCAGGCAGCTACACTGTTTCTTCAAAAAGAAGACTACCGCGCTTAATCTTCTAAACTGTTTAGTAGTTAGCATTTCTAATGAAGCCGACATTTGAAGTCGCCCAAGTTACATAAAAACTCAGAATAAGTCCTTTTTCATTGGATGTATAAACAGAACAGCTTTTACCGCTATTTTAATTTCAGCCTTTAGTGGTACATCACGCACTTAAATCCTCTTAACATCACTTAAGGGAACAAAATAAACAAAGGGTCGAAATGTGTTTTACATCTGTTCACTTTTGTGTATTCCGGTCAGTTGTATCACAACATTCTTCATGTATGAAACACTCAATATGTTTCCTTCACGAATTGTTTGGACCTAGTGACATCGAAATATATAGAAAGATTGTACACAAACACTTTTTTAATTTCACATTTATACACCGTCTGGCCCTGTCGAAATGACTTTTATACTCTATTTTCAATATCCGCGGAAAAGGAAACAGAATGGCAGTTTTTAGACAAAATAAGATTGTAAAGACGTATATGAATGTCTTTAATGTTTACAATGAGCTGACTATCGGAAATCGCTCTCCTTTCAACAGCAGGGTATTGGAAAATTATTACTTTCAAGCTAGCACGCAAGAGGCAGCATATATATTCATGTATGTCATATTCAATAGTCGCCAATTAAAAAAACGGCGAAGCTATTAAGAAGACAAATTTCACTTTTCCTTAAAACGCAGGGAAATATTTGTCACGCGAAATACAAAGATAGCAAAAGACGACACTGCGTGTTGAAAATCAACACATTCTGAAGACGTTAAAATTATTTATCACCATAATATATAAAATATATCGCATACATGGTCGTACGAGGGTGAAAAATATTGTATAAAAAAGAATAGATAAAGGTTGTCTTTATCAAAAGATAATGATGAGGGCATTAAATGTAAAAATTAATGGCACAAAAACTCTACGCGAGCAAAAGGCTAATCTAATTTTCGACTTGAAAATAAAACAAGCCTCATTAAGACGAGTTTTTTTTAAAAAAAAATTAATCACACTACAGAAAGGTTTAAAAAGCACGCCATGTCGCCATGTTTAAAAACCTGGTTACCATCCTGACATCGTTATCTTTGCATGGGTAGCAACAAGAAGCACATTCCCTGCGGGTTGTGAAGATATCCTGCTTTGAAAACAAGAGAAAGTGCGGTAATAAAATAATATCGATATGAAAGCGCACTTTATTTTGCCCTCAAAAATAGCGTTCTCCGCTTAAAAGGCCGGAGGTCACGATAACACTTTTCATTCTTCTTTTCAGCAAGATACAATATGTTTAAGTTTAGGTGCATATTTGAAATTCATTTTCATGATTTTGTGCACGTAAATATTGATTCTATTTCTCTTAAGATAATGGTATATACATATAAGATGACATTTAATGATTTTTACCGAATCTGTCTTCGCAGCATTGTGGGTAGGGAAGCAGCATTTTTTTCCCAAAAAGACTGAGCTGAGGAGATAAATAGGGGCTGGGCAAAGTCAAACGCAGGGCACAAGTTATAGATAAACTGACTTGAAAAAACACATCAACTGTAGAGAGCAGTAATGGATATCAGAGTAAAGTAAAGGTGGTCAAGATTTTGTTTTTCTTTTTTGCGACGATTTCTTTACGAGTTTAGCTTTTGGGCCAGTTGAGAGATCATTGTATTTTATTCGAAATTTTCATGATCAATAATCTACGCGAGTGATTGAGAAGGGATGTTTAAAAATAGCGAAACATTTTCGACTCCAAAAAATGAGTGGTGGAATATTTTGTCCACTATGGGTTACCATCATAAAATGTGACGGCAAAATAAATGTACAATTTATTGCGAAAAAAGGGTCTTTTATCAGCCTTCAGTCGCTCTCGTTTTCAGTGGGCTACTGAAATATGACAAGCGCTACCGGCCGTAGTTCGACCAGGAGGAGTCAACACCACTAGAACCCTATTACAAAATACAACACCTGCGCAGCTATAGGTGATGAAAAACTATAAACTTACGTATACCAACAGAACGAACTAGAATGGTGTCATGGCTTTAGGATTGACCCAATTTATTACAGAAACATTTCGAACAAAACCTTTGTTGGAGGCCAGTTGTTTTGTGAATTGATGGTAGACGTATTCTGACCGCTGATTCCGGCATTTGCGTGAGTTATTCGCAATATGAATTTGACTAAAACTTCCTGAAATTATTAGACACTAAACAAGATCGATATCAGTCGCCAACGAGACTCACCGACGCTATAAGACATCGAGAGGGATAAGATAAGACTAAACTCAAGTCAGTGATCATGAAACCCTTCTTAAATAAATAATAATTTACCCATTTAACAAGGAAGAGCTCTCAAAACTCCTCAAAACGTTCAAGTCCTTCAAGCCTTCGTGCAGAGGAAAACCAAAGAACACGAGGAAAATCTCTTCGAGCAAGCCCAGACACCAACCCCCTGTGGGGTAGGGTAGAGTGGAAATAAGGTTCTGAAAAACCCCAGGTGGGTGGTGTCTTATTCTCCTTAGGAGCCTAACCCCGTGCAGAATGTAACTCTTACCCCGTTGTTCGCGAATCGTTATTCACAAGTGCAATTGATCGACTTTTTGAATCATCGCACCATATTAAAAAATCATTATTCCAGTTGTTTTTGGGGTGGAGTTTTATTACAAATGACTTTTTATCGACAGTCTCATCACCTTTTTTCAATACTTTCTAAGTGTTCCGTCAACATTCGCGTCTCGTGCATCGTTCAGTTTGAAGGCTGCTTCCATTACATCTTTTCCCACCATACCTCGGACGTGGATCGTCACACAGCCTCCTTCTGGCGCGAAGGCCAGGCCCACAAGTTCGACCACAGGGAGACCAAGAGCTCCAGCGGCCCCAGTGGCCATGAACGGGAGCTGAAAATCAAAACACGATGACATGTAAACAGTCTCCGACATCAAAGCTTTTTCTATGTATATGAGGCATTTTAAGCACCTTATGAGCGTGGAAAACGATGACAGCCCTAGCTTGTGGTTATCCGCCCTGCCTATTATACGTACCATAACACTCGTTTAGCGAGCATGTCCTTGGCTGCTTTTGAATTCCGTAAGCGCCCGCCCCAGGGCAGCGTGTTCGATCACCTGTCATGCAGAATCTCTGACGAACCTTCTGACATTTGTCATTACACGGACCAAACTTTGTCCAAGAACTCCACGCCTTGGAGCTTTCACCTATTCGAGTTTTTAAAACAGATAAATAAATAAATGAATACATAAATAAATGATTTAATTGATTTATTAGTTAACTAAATGACAGAGGAGTGAAATAATGCATGAACTAGTGAAATAGAGAAAGGAGAGAAGATACACAGCCTGGAATAACTCTTTCTATCCTAACATCAGTATGCATATTATCCATACTGTTGTCTATACATTTCCTTAAGTGTTGACAAGGAGATTTTAGTCGGTGATCATCTTCTTAATTCTTACTAGAGCAGTTTTCGTTCAAGTATCGAAAGCAATTCGGGACAGCATTGGTTTTGCTTTACTTCGCTCTGTATTTGTTCCAGAAAAATCGCACCACTCTCTGAACCAGTCAGATGCGCAACTGGACAATCACGACTTGATGGTCAGCGTTTTCTCGCGCTCTGT